TTCATGTTGCCATTTTTATTGCATAGTACATCTACGTGTTATAAATTCTACAATATGAAGTTATAAGTTTTGATTTGTATTGCTTTAAACCATTGTGTGTATTTTGAAGAAATCAGGAGGAAAAATAGTTTTTAAAACATTTACCCACATATTTACTGTTTCCAATGCTTTTGATTCCTTTTGAAGGTAAAGTTTCCGGGTGGTACCACTTCTCTTCAGCCTGTAGGACTTCACCGAGCATTTCTTTCAGTCCACATTTGCTGGCAATGTTTAAAAGGGTGTGTTAAAAAATAAATTCTTAGTGTGTGTGCTTTTTTGGTTCCTTTTTAGTCTGACAGTGTCTTTCATTCATCTTTCTTCCTGAAAGATATTTCACTGGATGTCAAGTTCTGGATTGACATTATTTCTTTCAGTCCTTTAAAGGTGTGCTTCCACGGTCTTCTGCTTCCACTATTTCTGGTGAGGAGTCAGGGGACATTCAAATCATTACTCCTTGTATGTAATTTTTGTTTTTCTTTGCTGCTTTCAAGATTCTCTTTGGTTATCAGCGGTTTGACTGTGATGTGTCTAAGTGTGGTTTTCTGTGTACCGTTGACTCTTGAAGAACTTGGGCTTGAACTGTGCAGGCCCACTTATATACAGGTCTTTTTTCAGTAAGAAATACTTCAGTGCTACATGGTCTGTGGCTGGTTGAATCTGTGGATGCAAAGGAACCACGCATTTGGAGGACAGACTATAAGTTATACTTGGATGAACCCCGGTGTGGTTCAAGGGCCAATTGTATTTATCTCCTTGAGGTTTGCCGAGACCCTTGATTTTATATATTTGTTTCTTTCACCGAGTTTGGGGAATTTTTGGCCATTGTTTTGTCATCTCCATTCTGTTAAGTCCGCTCAGTGAATTTTTAAATTTCAGATATTATTTCAATTTTAGAATTTTTATTTCGTGTCTTTTTATAGTTAACATTTCTTTGCTGAGATTTCGTATCTTTTCACTCATTATAGGCATATTTTTTTTTATATCCGTAGGCATTTTATAATAGTTGTTTTAAAATCCTTGTCTGTAATTCTAAAATTTTGATCCTTTCTATATGCTTTGACGTTTTCTCTTTTAGCTAGTTCAAGTTTTCTGTTTCTGTGTTTACTGAGTAATTTTGGAGTGTAACCTGGATATAGTGAATATTCTGTGCTGTAAAAATCTCTGAATTCTGCTATATGCCTCCAAAGAGTGTTGATTTCTTTGTTCTGTTTTGTTTTATTTCAGTAGGCATTTAAATTGAAGTCCAACTGTTCCCACTGTCTCTCCTGTAGTGGACAGCACCCCAAATCTCATTTCAGTTCTCCTAGCCTTGGCTATGCTGGAGTTTACCACACAGGGGCATGGTTTAGGGGTCAAGCCAGAGTTTGGGCTGAGTTTAATACAAGGGCTTCCCCTCATATTCCCCCCCCCCACCCAGCAACACCCTTTCTAGTTGCTGTGGTTACCCTGAACTCTGGGGGGGTAGAAGCATAAACAATACGAGTGACGTAATGCGCTCAGTGGCTTAGCCATGAGAACAGCAGCAGCTGACATTTCTAAAGCGCTTACGTGTGTCGCATGCTGCATAACTATATCTATGTGTACATCTACTGTCATTTAACCTACCCTGCAACAGTCACCTGAGGTAGGCATCCATTTTACTAGAGTGAGAAACTGAGAATCAGAGAGGTGAGATATTTACCTGGAGTGTACCTTCTAAGAGGCAGAGCTGGATTTCAGAACCAGCTATTTCAACTCATACATTATGCCTCTGACGTCTTTTAAGTGCGAGGTCTGGGATTTAATCTTTAATTTTTCTTCATTTTCTTTAGATGCTTTTCTTTGCCATTGGTGTTCTACAGTGCTTCTAAGTATGGATTTGTTATTAATCATACAGTTCAGGATTTGTACTTCTTCAAATTGAATATTCATCTTTTATATTCTGGAAAATTGTTCGCCGTTATCTCAGGGCGCATATCGATGTGCACATACGGGGCGCATATCGATGTGCACATACGGGGCGCATGTCGATGTGCACATACGGGGCGCATATCGATGTGCGCATACGGGGCGCATGTCGATGTGCACATACGGGGCGCATATCGATGTGCACATACGGGGCGCATATCGATGTGCACATACGGGGCGCATATCGATATTTTTACTGGTTTTCTAGTTGCAGGCCTTTTACCTTCTCGGCTGGAAATGGAAGTCTCTCTCGCCTTCCTTCAGTTGCCTCGGAGGCCACAACCCTTGCCTTTGGCTTTGTTGTGCTTTCAGCCTTCATCTCAGTAGGTCTTTCTGCACATCTCTTGAAAGAGCGCTGGGCCGGAATGCAGAACATTTAGGTTCTAAGAATTGCAGTTTTTGCTGCTGGCTTTGGGGGCTCTGAATATAAAGTGAGGGAATTTATCAAGGAATGTGCTAAGGTTCCTTCTTGCTTCTTTATGATTTTATATTATAACATTCTTTTTTTCAAAAAAAAATTCAGTATTTTCATTCATTTAGGTTTCTTTTGGTGTTCCTTCACGGCACTACTTTTTATTGAGCACCTGTTACTTGTCAGGTATTATACTGGGTGCTGGGGTTACAGCCCCTCCGTGGAGCGGGCAGAGCTGCTGGGAGACAGACACGAGCAGCCACAAAAGCTGGTGCCAGCACCTCTGTGGCGGCGTCAGGACGGGAGAGCCACAGCTCCAGGAGAGGCTGTAGCCAGGGACTGGCCTTTCTGCAAAGGTCAGGGAAAGGCTCTTTTGGACAGTGACACCCAGGCTGGGGTAGGGCGTAGCGATTAAGGAATGATAGTGTCCCAGGCAGTGGGAACAGCACGTGCAGAATCATCGAGATGAAGGCTTTTGGTGTGTTTGAAGAACTAAGGGAACGCCACTGTGGCTGAATCCCGGGCAGGGAGGAGGGAGGGATTTCTTTGAAAATTAATATTAAAATTTCAGTTTCCTTTCTGGCAGGACAGCATAGTGCAACATCTAGAGTCCGACTGTTTGCGTTCAGATTCTGACTCTGCCACTCTGTAGCTGCGTGACCTTCGGCAACCTTCTTAACCTCTCTGAGCTTCAATTCCCTTAACGGAAACATGGGCTAATATGGTTATTGTCAGGGTTTAGTGAACTACTGCTATACAGAAAGCTCTTAGCACAGTTCCTGGCCTATAGGAAGTAACCAATAAAGTTTAGTTATTATCCAATATTTTATGGCCTATGGCTTTTATTTCCATGTATATAGTTAGTGTAGTAGAATCATTAATGTTCTCTAATAACAATTATTCTTTTGTAGAATGAATTGCTACTTTAGGTCTCTGATAAGCAGAGTTTTTCTTTTTTTTTTTTTGCGGTACGCGGGCCTCTCACTGTTGTGGCCTCTCCCGTTGCGGAGCACAGCCTCTGGACGCGCAGGCTCAGCGGCCATGGCTCATGGGCCCAGCCTCTCCGCGGCATGTGGGATCTTCCCGGACCAGGGCACGAACCCGCGTCCCCTGCATCGGCAGGCGGACTCTCAACCACTGCGCCACCAGGGAAGTCCATAAGCAGAGTTTTTTGAAGAAATATTTTCTGTTACTTTAAAACAGGAGTTCTTAACCCATGAAGTACACGGTTGGGCCTCAGAGGATGTTTTGAAACCTGATCCTTATGAAAAGTTGTATGTGTGAAAAGGGCATATATGTCTGTGGACATCGTCAGGTCCCAAAGCTGTCTGTTTTGAACTCGGTGTTTTAAAGCCCACTCCAGGCCGGGTCCGCAGTGCTCCGTGACCGTCTGTGGGTTGGAGGTTGCATATTCTTCCTGGGTCCCGAAAGGTACTGGGAATAGCCCATGCCACGTGACTGTGGTTAGGGGCCTGGTGTTCCCAGGAGGGACCCTGCAGGAAAATGACGTCGTTGATCGTGGCACACACATTTGTTTCTACAGACGTCTAATTCTGTGTTAGAATTATCTGGGTAACTGTTATACAGTGTACATTTTTAATAGGCTCTGATTACTAGCCTTAAAGAATTAGTTGAGAAAAGAAATGTGGTTAATGTTTCAAACAAGAGTAAGCACCTAGGCGCAAACTTGTCATCTCTTGTTTTCAACTGTTATCAGTTACTGCCTAAATTAACCGTGGTTTTTCTGTCTGCCATGTAGGAATCCTCTGCTTTTTTGCAGTAGTGCTTCTCGCCCAGCTATTTCAGCTCAGGGGATAGGAGGGAAGCCTTTCCACCCCTGACGCGTGGGTGCGTAGAGGGTGGTGGCCAGGGTCAAGGCCAGATCATGAGGGGCCAGATCCCGTTGGTCTTGCCATGCACGAACTTATTTGTTCCAGCATCTGGACCGGGCAAGGGTAGGGTTTTGTATGCATCCTACATGTTAGCATATGGGAGCATAGACAGGTTAAGTCACTTACTCTGGTCACGCAGCTAATACATAGAAGTTGGGGGATTCATTCCGTTTCAGGGACGTTTGGCGTTACACTGGAGGGAGGGGATGCCTGCCCTCAGTGGGGGTACAGGGGAGAGCAGGCTTGGAGGGGAAGAGGCAGTATGACAGCTGGCTCATTTTTGGCCAGAGTGAGTTGGAGGCACCTGTTAGACATCCATGTGGAGGGGTCTGGTTGGGTGTTGCCAGGCCAGGGCTGAGCGTTGGTGGGACTCGACGTCACGGAGTGGGTGAAGCTGCATAGTGAGGACGTTTAGGCCAAGACAAGATATGGTGCTGAGGACTTGCCGTCAGATTCTTGCTTAGGGGTCCAACCTCTTTTTCTTTCGACCGTTTTAAATGTGTTTGCGTAGAGCTCCGGGGCCAGTTTTCATAGGGCGAGCGCTTTGTTCACCTGCTTCTGTGTCCCAGATGGCAGAGAGGGTCCTGTCCACGGTGGTGAGAGTGCGTCAGACCAGCAGCCTGAAGGCAGGGCGTTTGGCCCTTCTCGAAGGCGCTGCTCTCATCACCCTTCCCTAGGCTTATTAACCTGCCCCCTGCATTTTCCCTGCATTGTCAAGTCTGCGGTGCTCAGAGGCTTCAGCCACGGCGTGCGACCGGCCGCGTCTTGCCCAGGTGTGGCCAGTCCCAGTTGGTGCGCACTTACGAGTGTGGTTCCCCTCTTCCCCTCTAGATGGATTTGAGGACTACGGTCCCTCATGCGACGGCATGAGGGTGACAGCCTTCTTGGACGTTCTGGGCCGGGACAACCTGCCTGCACTTGCTCGCCTGGAAAAGTACACTTTCAGCGGCAACATCTTCAACTGGTAAGCTGTGCCTGGCCTGCGTGCGGTCAAGGGGCCACCGGCGGCCACCTGTCTGTGACAGCCTTGCAGGGTGCGTGGTGGAGGTGGATACGGGCTGTTCCCTGGGTGCTGGGAGTCTGCCTGAACAGCACTGCCTTATTAGGGCTTCCCATTATTCTTGTTGCTGTTTTACTGACCACCAGGTAAGCCAGGAAGGAGACGGTGGTGAAATTTAATGGGATTTAAATAATTAGGATTGCTAACTGGCTTTCCTTCACATGTACGGTGCTCAGAAAAGTAAAACGTGTCGCACAATTGAGAAGCATCGGTCAGTGCGTTGCTCGCCTGTCTTGTGTCTTGACGGCACTGGGCTTCAGGGACCTTTGTGCCACTTGTCCTGCACATTCTGCTGTCACTCCTCATGGTGCTGGCAGGACCCTCCTCTGGGCTCGGCCCACGTCTCTTCCCTTCAGCAGATGACCTTGACTCCTCCTTCAGGAGGAAAGCAGAGACTAAGGCATCCCTTTCAGTTCCCAATCCGCCCAAACCTGCATCTGCAGGCACCTCCCTCCTCCCTCAGAGAAGGCGCTCTCTCGTCTCCCGTCTCCCTCCGTCTTCTGTCTCTTCCTTGTCACCCCTTCTACGGGCCCTTTCCTTCCGCTTCAACACCCTCTCTCTCTCTGACAGTTCTGTGGACTCTCCCCGGCCCTCCCTGCATCCCTTCCCTGAAGGACAGGTTCTGTTAAGACTGGTTCCTACTCACTGTCTATTCTTACTACTCCTTTAAAAAATTATAGTCTCTGCTTTTACATCTGTTAAATCATAGAAGGTGAGCTCACAGCAAGTGCTACTGAGCGAGCCCAATTATTATCCCAGATCTACAGCTGGGGAGGTGAGGGTGCTGCGAGCGGCGTCTTTTGATGAGCCGCTCTTCATTGAGGCATGTAGTCCACGGTTTAGCAACTTTGTCTTTTAGGGTCTGTGCTTTTCATGTCCTGCGTAAGAGAGGTCTGCCTCCCCCCAGGCCACTAGCGTATTTTCTTACACTGACTTCCTGAAGTTTTGTTGTTTCCCGTTCACACAGGGAGCCACAGTCCACCTGGCGTTGCTTTTCTTGTTTGGTATGATGCGAGGGAGAAGTCAGGTTTCATTTCCCTCCTGTGGTCTCCAGTTAACACAGGGCCATTCACTGAGAGCGCTTTGATCTCTGCTCTGCATTGCCACCTTTGTCTTCAGTCAGGTGTCCGTTTCTGGACACTCTAGTCTGCTGCATTGGCTGTGTATCTGTCGTAGCACCAGGACCCCACCATCCTCATTACTGCAACTTTGTCATCCAAGTCTTGGTATCAGAGAGGTTACCTGATACCTTGCTATCCCGCTTTGTTCTCCAAGATTGTCCTGGCTGCCGTTGGCCCTTTGCATTTCCAAGTGTATGTTAATACCAGTTTATCGGTTTCTAGAAAAGAAAACCTACTGGGATTTTCACTGCAATTGCATTGCATCTATAAATCAATATGTAAAGAATTGATATCCTTACAATATCTAGTTTTCTACTCCTTCCATTTTTTAAGGTTTTCTTCACTTTCCCTGTGTGTGTGTGTGTGTGTGTGTATACACATATATACATATACATGTATAAACATACACATAAATAACTATAAAAGTATAATACATGGTTTTCTGTTGTAGAGATCTTTTGTATCTTGTTAGATTTAGTTTTAGGTATTTGACCTTTTAGGCTAATGTAAATTGTATCATTTCTTTTTTTTTTTTTTTTTTTGTATGTGGGCCTTTCTCTGTTGTGGCCTCTCCCGTTACGGAGCACAGGCTCTGGACACGCAGTCTCAGCAGCCATGGCTCACGGGCCCAGCCGCTCCGCAGCATGTCCGGATCTTCCCGGACCGGGGCACGAACCCGTGTCCCCTGCATCGGCAGGTGGACTCTCAACCACTGCGCCACCAGGGAAGCCCTGGCAGGCAGATTCTTAACCACTGCGCCACCACAGAAGTCCCTCTTGAAGGGGTCATTAGTCTTGTAGAATTTTCCACATTCTGGATTTGGTGGTCATTATTCTCATGGTATAATTTCATGTGTTCCTTTGTTCTCTGTATTTTCTGTAAACTGAAAATTAAACTTGGAGACTTGATTAGATTCTGCTTCAATTTTCTTTCAAACAATACTCCATATGTTGTCTTGTGTACTTTTTATTACAAAACCTCAGGAGGCAAGATCTGGCCGAGATGTTAGTATTGAGCAGCGGGCGCAGGTGTTCGATTCTTTCACTACAAAATTCCTTACCAACCTTTCTTCTAATGATTTTAATGGTCACAAATAATCACCGCTTAGATCTGTTATTTCACTGTCTGTTGGCAAGTGTCTGTGGAATCTGTAGCACGGCCCCATTTTCCATCCTGTTGTTGGCTCTGGTTGCCTTTTCTCTTTTTTTTCCCTAGGTGATTCTAACCAGAGGATTATCAATTTTATTAGTTATTTTGAAGAATCAAGTTTTGTCTTTGAATTCCTCTGTTATATGTTCATTTTCTAATTCAGTAATTTTTGCTCTAATCTGTATTATTTTCTTCCTTGGAGTTTTTTTTTGGGGGGGGGAATTTAATTGCTGTTCTTTTTCTTACTTCTTGTGAGGAATGCTCAACATTTTACTTTCTTGGCCTTTCCTTTATAACATCTGCATTTTACATTTAAGGTTGCTATTAAGTACTATATTAAGTATTATAAATACTTAAATATTATATTAGTTGCATCCTCAAGTTCTGATAGGCAATATTTTCATTACCTTTTAGTATAGAGTATTTTTAACATCCATAATGATTTCTCCTTTGACCAATGAGTTATTTAGAAGTATATTGATTAATTTAGAAATACTTGAAGATTTTTCAGGTATCTTTCTGTTACTTGATTCTTAGTTTAAGGCTTCTGTGGTCAGAGGACGTACTTCGTGTTATTTCTCTTCTTTACAAGTCGCTGAGATTTGTTTTACGACTCAGAAATCTACTCTAACTTGTGGCATGTTTCACGTGCGCTTGAAAAGAACGTGCATCCCAACGTTTTTGGGTAGAGTAGCCTATCAATGTCAACTTGGAAAGTTGTTTGAAAACATTATTCAGGTCTTGTCTATTCCTATTTATTTTCTGTCTTCTTGTTCTGTCGATTACTGAGAGAGGAATGTTGGAATCTGTGACTATAATCATGGATTTATCTGTTTTTCTTTCAGTTCTGACAGTTTTCATTTTGTGTATTTGGAAGCTGTGCTCTTGGGTGTGTACACCCTTAGTATTGCCCTGTGTTCTTGAACAAATTGATCTCTTGATCAGTGTGCAATGTCCCTCTTTATCTCTAGTCATATTCCTTTTTCTGAAGCTTACTATGTTTAATATTAATATATATACTCCCGCTTTCTCTTGATTAGTGTTTGTATGGTATATTTCTGCCTATACTTTTGTTTTTAACCTTCCTGTGTCTTATATTTAAAGCCTGGTTATTGTAGAAAGCACATAGTTGGGTCTTGCTTTCTTATCCAGTTTAACAATCTGCCTTTTAATTTGAATGTTTAGCTCATTTACATTTGTTACTATTGATTTGGTTCAGTTTAAATCTACTGTCTTGCACTTTGTTTTCTGTTTGTCTCAATTCTTCCTGGTATTTTCCTCTTTTCCTGCCTTTTTAAGAAAAGTCGAATGAGTTTTGCTTTTTCTTTTTGCGGTACGCGGGCCTCTCACTGTCGTGGCCTCTCCCGTTGCAGAGCACAGGCTCCGGACGTGCAGGCTCAGCGACCATGGCTCACGGGCCCAGCCGCTCTGCGGCACGTGGGATCTTCCCGGACCGGGGCACGAACCCGCGTCCCCTGCATTGGCAGGTGGACTCTCAACCACTGCGCCACCAGGGAAGCCCTCGAATGAGTTTTTTAATAATTCCAATTAATCTCCACTATTGACTTATTAGTTATACCTCTTTTAAAATTTTTTATTGGTTGTTCTAGAGATTATAGTATATTCCTTTAGCTTATTCCAACTGTTCAAATAAAATTACTCCACTCTTCATGCAGTGCAGGATTCAGTATAAGAACCTCACAGCAGTGGACTTCTGTTTCCTCGCCCCCATTGTCTTCCTACATTTTACCTCTGCACAAGTTACAAACCCTACAATACCTTGTTACTATATTTGCTTCAGATAGTCAACTATCTTTCTAAAGCAACTAAAATGAGAAAAAAAAAAAAATATATATATATATATATATATATATACACATATATATACACATACATATATATTTTTTTGGCGGTACGCGGACCTCTCCCGTTGCGGAGCACCGGCTCTGGACGCACAGGCTCAGTGGCCATGGCTCACGGGCCCAGCTGCTCCACGGCATGTGGGATCTTCCCGGACCGGGGCACGAACCTGTGTCCCCTGCATCGGCAGGCAGACTCTCAACCACTACGCCACCAGGGAAGCCCGTGAAAAATATTTTTTATATTTGCTATCATTTTTACCATTTTTGTGCTTTTTAGTTCTTTTTGTAAACTGTCCATTGCTGTCAGATATCCTTTTGCCTCAAGAACTTCCTTTAACAATTCTTGTTAGCACAAGACCACTGTCAATGAATTCTCACAGCTTTCGTTTGTTGGGAGGTTTTTATTTCACTTTAATTAACAGACTTCATTTTTGTGAGCAGTTTTAGGTTTGCAGAAAAACTGAGCAGGAAGCACAGAGAGCCCCCGTGTTACCTGACTGCCCCAGCATGCCCAGCTCTTCCAGTGACCTGCAGCACGTGAATCAGGCTTATTTTCAAGTCCTCGTCTGACTGTTCGCACGTCGGTGGCCAATGACCTCACCCCTCCGCGTCTCCCTACCCAACACCTGCTCATCCGCACGCTCGTCTCCCTGCCTCATTCCTCCACGTCCTTCTTCTCCGTCTTTAGAATCGCATCACTGTTGGTCATCATCGATTTTCCTGCCTCCTTACAGGCCTCGACTGTGAGCTCCTTCAGAGCGGAACCTGGAACTTGCTGGTCTCTGCACCCCCGGCTTCCTGCCCCTAGTCCAGAGCCAGTGGGGCTAAACTCATGATCATAACTGCACAAGTGGGTGAGGGAAAGGAGGGACAGAGACGCCAAGGGTTCCTTCCGTGGTGACATTTCCAGGGAACATTGCCATGTGAAATCAAGCCATCCTCTTTCTTTATGTTTAAAAAAAATTCGCAGAAATAATACATGCTCTTTGAAATGTAGCAGTTTCAGGAGTTAAATAGTGAGAGTCTCCCTCCCTTCCGCACTATAATCTTAGATAGTACCCATGAGCCGTTCAGTGTATATATCCTTCCACACGTTTCCTAAATGAGTGTACGTATATATGAGTGTGTTTATATGTACATGTATTGCACACATATGCAAAAGCATAATTTTGTTAAGAAATGGGTTCATACTGTATGTAAAATTCTTCCTCTTGTTCTTTCATTTCATGTATCATGGGCAGCTTTCTAACTCAGTGCATTTCTATAGGTACCTGTAAAAATGGTTGTATGGTATGCCAGTGTATAGCTACATCACAATTTATTTTAGCTTCCCTCTTTTGATAGACATTTTGATTGCAATTCTTTGCTTATATCGTAATATGGTTGATGGCTGATGCACTAGAGGACTCATCGTGTGCCAGGTGCCATGCTCTGAGCTTCCCGTGCACGATCTCACGATCTCATTTAAGCTTCCTCACACTTCCCTGAGGTGCACAGTTGTCCACTGTTCTTTCATGTCATTAGCACAGCTGACAGAAGTATCGACTCTGATGCTTCTGGACTCTGCTCATCCGCTGTGACCTCGCCAGGTCATTCCAACATGAAGCAGCCGAAGTGTTGGTGCCAAAGCCCCGATCTGTTTGCGTCTTTAGCTCTCTTGCGCTCTGCATTCACAGCGGTGGATGTGCCCCTGCTTCAGGGCCCTCTCTTACCCCTTTCCTTGCTCTCCTGAAGAGGGCAGGCCTCCTGTGACCACTTGAGGCTGCATGCAGTTCTGTCTATCCGTTCTATGGCCCTACAAGCAGACTGGGGATCTTAGTTGCTTGATTTCCCCCGGGAGGCTGCCATGAATGTGGTCCAGTGAACTGTAATCAGGGACTTCATAGTGTCTGTTCCGGCTTCCCCAAACCTCCTGGCTGCCAGACCTCGACCTTTCATCCCAGGGGTGGTATAAGTCTCTCCACGGGCAGGCTCGAGCTGATGGATTTCTTCCCGTAGTATGCTGGGCCAAAAGATGCCTCTTTGAATTCCACACACTTCTAGTCATCTTTTTCTGAAAATCAAGGTGGGTTTTCGACCTCAGCTCTTCTCCCGATGCTTAGCCAGAAATGACACAGAGACGTGTATTATTTCTAGATTGTCAGGTACCCAGAGGAGCAGACAGAGGCAGACAGAGGCTCCTTTCCATTTGCTCCAAGACACCCATCAGGAATGCCAGTCCCTCTTTGCGGGCACACCAAGGCCTCCAGGCCACCGTTAGCCACTGTTGATCCCATTGACTTTTCCCCTCATCAGTGTCTTTGAAACAAACACCTTTATCAAGGCATACTTTTCATGCAGTAAAATCCACCCACTTAGAGCGTCCAGTGAGGTGAATTTGGGGTAAATGCAGGCACTCATGCAGTCATCTCCATGGTCAAGTTTGAACATTTCCATCAGCCCCTTGTTTCCTTGTTTGCCTCTTTGCAGTCAGTCTCCCCCTCTCTCACCACCGCTGGCCCAGGCAACTACTGATCTGTTTTTTGATGCTAAGGTTTTGCCTTTTTAAGAATTTCCTGTAAATGGAATCATGTGGTATGTAGTCCTTTCTGCTGGCTTCTTTGACTTAGCAAAATGCGTTTGGAATTCCTCCCTGTTGTTACCAGCAGTTCTCTCCTTTTTGTTGCTGAGTCATAGTCCACTGTATGGATATTCTGTGTTTTGTTTGTGCATTCCCCAATTGACAGATACTGAGATGTTTTCCATCTTGTGGCTATTATGAATGATGCTAACATGAACCTTTGTGTACAAGTCTTTGTGTGGACATACGTTTTTATTTCATTTGGGTACATACCTAAGAGGGAGTTGCTGCGTTGCATGACAAGCGTACATTTAACTTTTTGAGAAGCTGTCCAATTGGTTTCCGAGTAGCAGTTGTGCTACTTTGCATTCCCACGAGCAGAATCTGTGAATTCCTGTTGCTCCATGTCTTTATCAGCACTAGGTATTGTTATTATAATTTTCGTTCTTCTAGTGGGGGTCGTGTTACCCCATTGTGGCTTTTTTTGGTCTTTGTGTTTTGTTTTGTCTTTGAACCTTATTTTGAAGTAACTTCAGATTTACAGAATTGCTGTAAAGATGGTACAGAGAGTTCCTTTATGCCTTTTGCCCAGCATCCTTTAATGCAGTGGTTCTCAACCAGGGGTGATTTGGCCCCGGTGGACACTTGGCAATATATAGAGACATTTTTGATTGTCACATCATGGGGAGGGGGCAGCCAGGGGGCTGCTACTGACACCTAGAGGGTAGAGGCCATTCGAGATTGAGATGGCCATCGGATGTCCCTTTGGACCTTTTCCTTCTGCATTTTGTATTGGTCACTTAATTCCCTCCCGCTGTTATGGGATCTCTTTTCCAAGTCTATCTAGGCCTGAAGAATCAGTCAGAAAAGGAGAAAAAGGTTTTCTTTTGTGCAGGTGGACAGTTTCCACCTCCAGTGACTGCCAGACTGGAGGGTATGGGTCCTCGTCTTACAGGATGTTGACCACCTTTGCATGTTGCTGGACCGTGTCTTCTCCCTCTGGACGGAGGTGGCTGACTTTCCTTTCCCCCATGATTGTATTACCTGCTCATAGCACATGCCGGAATTAGCACACATAACTGTATGGATCCTTTCTCGCTTCCACAGTCAGATTATTGCCAGAGGGCTGCTTGATATCTTCCGGGACTTCAGTAACAATGAAGAAGACTTCATAACGGTAATGGAGATCGTGGTCAGATTGTCAGAAGATGCAGGTTTGTACAAGGATTGGATACTTTTATTTTATTTATTTATTTATTTATTTCTACGCGGGCCTCTCACTGCTGTGGCCTCTCCCGTTGCGGAGCACAGGCTCCGGACGCGCAGGCTCAGCGGCCATGGCTCACGGGCCCAGCCGCTCCGCGGCATGTGGGATCTTCCCGGACCGGGGCACGAACCTGCGTCCCCTGCATCGGCAGGCGGGCTCTCAACCACTGCGCCCCCAGGGAAGCCCGCTTATATTTTTAAGTTGTACATTTCCAAGAAATTGTATATAAGCTGTGATAGCTGATGGGCTTGCTTTAGATTTTGATCATTTTAACCGAAAATAGAAAAATAAACCCTTCCGTATAGCTCCCATATTAGTTTAAAATATTCATATGAGCATGACACAACGCTTTTAAAAAGGCTCGAGTGGATGTTTTGAGCCCTTAAATGGATTCTCTTTGTAAGTGAGTCACCGTTTACGGTGCTGAAGCAATTATATACTCGTGTGAAATTTAATGTGGTGTATTGGAGCTAGAGCCGCTCTTTCGTTTAATGCTTTGCCTTAGAAACAATTGGGGTGCGTGGATTGTGGGGGAGTGCATTTATGAAAGAATTATTTGTAACGTATACTTTCTGGCTGGAATTTGAATAAGCACAGCCCATAGGTCTCGCATATATGCCGTTAGTTGTAATGGGTTTTGGACGCTGGCCCGGCAGCAGATGTCTTGCCCCCTCCTTGATTCATATATGGCTTGTTATAATAGAGTTGTCATTCTCTCTTCTTTTTGTGTTTTTGTATTGCCGTATAGCTTATCAGCTTTTTATGATTTTGTATTGCCGTATAGCTTATAAGCTTTTTAAGCTTGTCTGTAGCATAAATACTCTAAATGGGAAATGATTTTTTAACCTGCATTTGTCTAATTTCCTTGATGAAGTATTTTAGTAAGAAAAGCTAGAAACTATCAATATATACTATATAAGATGCTTGGCTTATTCTTATATAATTCTTTGTCTCATTTTTTTATTGCTGCAGAGCCCACAGTGCGGGCTGAGCTGCTGGAACAGATTCCTCCTATTGCCATTTTTCTACAAGAAAACAGGTCTGATTTTCCAGTGGTGCTCTCTGAACATCTCATACCCATCGTGGTGCGGTGCCTCGCAGATCCAAACAACCAGGTGTGAAAAATTATAACCTTAAGGTCTTTGTAGCAAATTCTCTTTCGTCTTATTTTCGCTGATATTCATAATTCAGAAAACAGTTTCTTAGAGTTAAGTGACTCAAGAATGAAAGGTCCCTTTGTGCCCAGTTTCTTTAATCACATAGGAAGGTAGATGGCACGCATTCTTATTATCATATTTCTTTTTTTTCCCCACTTTTTACTATGTGAATTTTCAAACGCACCTAGCCGTGGCGAGAGTATTAAAATGAATGCCCGTGTACTCTCCACCCAGCTCCAACTATCATTAACACTTGACCAGTCGTTTTTCATTTATCTTACCCAGATAAATCCAACCCAGATAAAAGCATTTCCCAGACATTTCAACTGTAAATGCTTTAGTATTCCTCCCTAAGAAATACAGACACTTAAAAAATCCCCATAGCGACAGTACCATTATCACAAGTATAAAAACTATCAGTAGGTCCTTAATATCATCTAACATCTAGCGACTGTTCAAATTTTCCCAGTTTTGTCATAAATCTGCTTTTTGCAGATAGTCTGTTCAAATCAGAATACGCACAAGGTCTACACATTGCATTCGATTGATGTATCTTTTAAATCCCCTTTAATTTGTAACAGTTCTTCCTCCGCTGCTGTGTATTTGTTGAGGAAACTAGGTCATTAGTCCTATAGGTTTTTCCACATTTGTGATCCGGCTGATTGCATTTCCAGTGTTGTTTGAGATGTTCCTCTTTTCCAGCATTTCCTCCAAATTGGTGAAGCCTAGAGGCTCAGTCAGACTCAGATTTTTCTATCGTATAGTGAGAACACTTTTTAGGTGTTGCTGTGTTTTCCTGCTGCATCAAATCAGGAAGCACAAAAGCAGTGTCGTCACCGGATTAGGTTTTGTCAGCCTTATCTGTTTATGACAGAGTTCCTCATCAATCTGTGATCAACCATTAGTTATCATCACCTAGATCTGGGATTTTGTTAGAGGTTGCAAAATTGTGATGCTCTAATTCCGTCCTTCTTTTATTTTCTATTTTTTGTTGATGTATAGTTGGTTTACAATGTTGTGTTAGTTTCAGGTATACAGCAAAGTGATTCAGTTATACATACATATGTATATATATTCTTTTTTTTTTTTTTGCGGTACGCAGGCCTCTCACTGCTGTGGCCTCTCCCGTTGCGGAGCACAGGCTCTGGACGTGCAGGCTCAGCGGCCATGGCTCACGGGCCCAGCCGCTCGCGGCATGTGGGATCTTCCCGGAACCGGGGCACGAACCCGTGTCCCCTGCATCAGCAGGCGGACTGTCAACCACTGCGCCACCAGGGAAGCCCCATATGTATATATATTCTTTTTCAGATTCTTTTTTCTTATAGGTTATTATAAAATGCTGAGTGTATTTCCCTGTGCTATATAGTAGGTCCTTGTTGGTTATCTTTTTTACATATAGTAGTGTGTATCTGTTATCAACATCATTCCTTCTTTTTTTTAATAAATTTATTTATTTATTTATTTTTGGCTGCGTTGGGTCTTCGTTGCTGCCCGCAGGCTTTCCCTAGTTGCAGTGAGCGGGGGCTACTCTTTGCTGTGATGCGTGGGCTTCTCGTTGTGGTGGCTTCTTTTGTTGTGGAGCACAGGCTCTAAGCATGTGGGCTTCAGTAGTTGTGGCACGCGGGCTTAGTAGTTGTGGCTCACGGGCTCTGAGCACAGGCTCAGTAGTTGTGGGCTTAGTTGCTCCAGAGCATGTGGGATCTTCCCAGACCAGGGCTCGAACCTGCATCCCCTGCATTGGCAGGTGGATTCTTAACCATTGTGCCACCAGGGAATCCCTCATCATTCCTTCTTAATTTAATAGCTGGAATTCTTCCATAAAGAACTTCCCCCTCAGCTATTTGGTAACTCTGAAAAACTGTCTATGGGAGACAGGTTAAATGATTTACTTTTCCCCTTTATTTACCAGTTTCTAGAAGAATCAGTCGGTATCCTAATAATCTACAAGGTTACCAATTAGGTTTTAAAATTTTATGTTGAGTACTATTATGAACTCCTGAATTTTAACATATTAGATATGTTTTAAGCCACTGTAGTTTTTATTCTTTTTAATAATCAAATTGTCCTAGTTTTGACCAGAGGTAACCCTTCAAGTTGGCTCCTGAATTTTCTTGATGTGATCCAGTAGACTTTGCTAGCTCACTTTACCTGGAATCAGCTATTTATCCAAGGAGCCCTGGTTCCTTTATGAGGGAAATAATAATAAGAAACGAGAATGTGGGTACCAGAGATGCTCATCGCTACAAGAGTGGTCATGGCTTCTAGTGACAGAGCAATTTATTTTCTTAAAAAAATAAAAATTCCTCATGAGTTTATATTGGTATTTCCAACTCAAATTTAAGATTATAGGGCTTTTACTTACTTGATTTTTTTTACTTGATTTTTATATTTGTATCTTTTTATTTGTTTGTTTTTTACACAGTATAAATCTTCCTTCTTCATGGTATTAACGTGTGTGTGTGTGATGTGTATGTGTGTGTATCTAAAATAAAAATACCAGTAGTATTACTAACAACCTGGTAGGATTACTGAATATAGTTTAAGATTTCTTTGCAGTTCTTTTTGCTTTTAGGCTATCTCCCAGTAGAGATGCACAGTCATATTAATATTACTGTATTTTAAAGTCACTTGCATTAACCCTTCTTTTTGTGGTTAAGCTGCCATCCTGATACACAGTTAGGCTCATTTGTTTTCATTTATTTTTTATTTTTAAGAATTGCTTCAGCTTTTACGTTTTGATCTAAATTAGACTTGTAATTATTTGAAATGTTTTTACATGATTCTAAAGTCAAAACTGTAAAAGAAAGTACATTTAGAGAAATCCGATTTCTGCTCCTGTCTCCCTCCCCGTTCTCTCTCTCCCCTGTGGATGTTCATTTTTATTAGCTTGTGGTTTGTTCTTGCCTTCAAAAAATACACACGCACAAATAACTCTAAGCAAATACACGTATGTCCTTGTATCCTGTACCGCCTTGGTCCGCTCTCAGGTGTGAGGTGGCATACTGTCCCTGGTGCTCTCTCCCTTGCTTTTCCCATTGTCTTGGTGTCCCGGAGATTAGCCCATGACAGGCGAGGGGAGGCCTCCTCGTTACTTTTCCCAGCATCAGAGCACTCCACTGTACTTTATCCGTAGACCTTAGGTCATGTCTACCCTTTGCCACATTAAAATTGTTGCAACAAATAACCTTGTGTCATTTCTGTTTCTGTCAGTTGATTCTGGGGATGGATTTCCACTAATTTTTTTATGATATGCCAAGTTTTTGTTATTGTCATTGCCAAGAAAGTCTACAGTTTTGACTTGTATTTTTCCCTTGATCCAAGCATTCTTAAAAGACCAGATGCTCACTTTTGACTATCAGACAGTGTGATGGGATTAAGGATGTTTTTTTAAAAATTTTTTGTGGTACGCGGGCCTCTCACTGTTGTGGCCTCTCCCTTTGCGGAGCACAGGCTCCGGACGCGCAGGCTCAGTGGCCATGGATCACGGGCCCAGCCGCTCCGCAGCATGTGGGATCCTCCCGGACCGGGGCACGAACCCGCGTCCCCTGCATCGGCAGGCGGACTCTCAACCACTGCGCCACCAGGGAAGCCCAAGGATGGTTTTAAATAAGGAAAGAAGTCATCCTGCCTCCGCTGTCCTGTCATCAGTGTTTTGATTATTTTCGCATTTTCTTCTGCGGGCGCTTACATGTTTTCCTACGTAGGTCTAATCATAATGCGATGCAGTTTCCTCCAGCCATTCATTTGTTCAGACAGCTTCTGAGTGCACATCACGAGCTGAGCGTGGCGCTTCTTGCTGGGGATGAAGAGATGAGTAGGACGGATTTTTCTACCCTAGGAAGCTCGTCTGTGTGTCATAGACGTTGTACATCTTCATAATCTTCATATTTTTAATTTTTTTGAATGCTCAGCTTCCTTTCAGCTTTCTTGTCCTGTAGATGCAGTGAGCTTCACAAAAGGTGCAGTTTTATTTTTCTGTCGGCTTTTCTCTTTCCTTTGGATACATTCTTAAAAATGAAGTTATGCTGGGTTGGGGGACTTGACACGTCCTTGGCCTCTGTCATGTATCACTGTCTTACATTCGACTCCAGAGGAGGGAGGCAGGAGCCGTGGTTTTGGTCCCAGGCTCTCGCGTGGTTCCTGACACTCAGCCTGTGTTTGCTGAGGAGTCGTGTCCGTGGCGCAGAGCCGGCTCTCCCCGCTGTCGGCCTGTGCTGTTCACGCACCTCCACTGCCCGCCTCTGCCCTGCTGTACCTCGGTCGCTCCTTTCCTGGGGTCTCCAGAGCTGCCTCCTCTGAAGTCCCGAAGATGTCGTCCACTCTCTCACCATTGACTTCCCACCGCCTTGAGCCCACCTGCCCTGGAGACCTCTGGCTCCCCGACCCGCTCTGTACCCTGCTGTTAACTTCCTGTTCTTCCTCAGCTGCTCCCTCTCTCATCCTGCCCTTTAGGCCGTCTCCACCATCACGCTCCATTTCTTTCCCTTAGACCGTGCTTCCGCCCTCCCGGCCCTGCCGCCCGCAGCCCACCGGCCCCCTCCATCCTGGGTTCCCATCTTGGTAGGGGAGTCACATCGTGCACTGACTGGGGCCATTGCAAATCTATGGGTTCCAGTCGCCGCTGGGCTTGCGGTGCTGCCTGGCAGTCCTGTTACTTGTCCCTCATCAGCTGCTTTTCACGTTATCCTTGGCAGCTCTCATCAAGCCTCTTCACCTCACCCTGCCTTGCGCCTAGCCGGTGACCTTGCATTTTACTTCCCAGAGAAAACAGAGACCTTCAGTCTTCATCCCCTCTCTCAGTGAATGGACCCGCCATCCACTTTCTTCAGTTCCCCAGAGCCACAACCTGGGAACCACCCAGATCCTTCCTTCTCTCACCTCCTACAGCTGGTTAGACCCAAGTCTCCTTTGTTTCCGTAACAAACACATAACCTCTTAAGACACCCCCTCTGCCCTTC